ACTAATAATAAAAAAAATTAAATACTCAACTAGTGGGCGAGACGAGAACGGCAATTTCGCATAAGAGAAAAGAATAAATTATATTGAAAGGCCTACGTTGATTAATAATCGGAATTGCTGGAGCTAACGGTTCACTAACTCGGTATCACTTATCACGACAAGAAAAGAGCTTCAGCGACTAAAAAAAAACTATTGGACACTTCGGTGGTCAAATAGGCAAGGTCTTGTAATTTTTGCCGCCCTCATACTTATGCCTTTTCAACTATGACGCTGCACGTCAACCAGTTCGGAGTGGGGGCAACCACCACCTGTCTTCGGACTATTTACTACTAACTGGTACAAAAAATTACCCTTGCATACCTTCACAAATAATTTTTGATAATTTGTATAAAATTCGGTGTTTTAATACGAACATGATGTTACAAGTACAAACAAGAATATTTTAAACTACGGGAGCTCGCTCAGCCGTTCAGAATCTGCGATGACTAGGGAATTCAACATACGGGGGATCTTTAAAGAGTACCTACACGGAAATTCTGATGAACCTGAGCCCGTCTTTGGCACAGACACGACTCGGGCCCGGCGCGTTATATCCATAAGAATTCTAACAACCTTTATATGACTTTTTTGCTTGTTCCAATCCGTCTGTCTGTCGTCGTCTGTCTATCTGTTGACGCGATAGCTCAAAAACGGCTTTAGAGAAAAACATTATATGCATATAAGACTACTTTCTGGCTCGATACCAGTTATACTTTCGGTGAGTTATATACAGGGCGAGACGTTTTAAAAATAATATTCTCTAAAGTCGGCAGATCTTGACAAATATTGGTATCTGAGTATTTTAGAAGTCTAAGGTAACAGATCATACATAAGTTTTTAAAAATTCAAAAATGATTTGAAAGGAATTGTATTTAATGAAAAAAGGTTCCCCTTAAATAAAAATAAAAATCGTCCATTTGGTTTGGGTAACTGGTCCACTTTAAGAGCACCCAATCATTTTCGTTCATTAACGAAGAACGTGACGAAGAACACCGGGAGGACGCGAAGTGAGAGTTCGAGTGGTAACAAGAGGAAGATCGATTTTAACTTTAATAGTTACCTTCTGAATTGTCATTATCTCAACAGCCTCTCTTTGATCAGTACCACTGTCGGGTCTATTAAACCAAATATTTGTTTTACTATTTTTAAAATTTTTTTCATATTTAAACTTTCAAAATAAACCATTTTAATTTTAAACTTAAACACATTTATTTAACTTTTGGATTATTATGGATATTAAGATTTTAAAATGTTTTATCACTGTAAGTAATTTTTTATTGTAAATTTGTCATCACTCATTTGTATCATTTTGTATTGTAGGCCCAAAGAATGGCCACATAGGCCGAAACTAGTTGTGACATTTATTTCTTAATATTTTTGTGGTATTGAATTTAAGCTTTGTGTTGAATTCAATTATTGTAACACTAACGCAAGCAGTGGTTTGCCATTTGTTTAAATAGGTTAACAGTAAAATGTATTATTTCAGAAATCAAGGAGGCACGGCTACGCCGCACAGTGTTCCAAATGACAATATTAGGCGATCAAAATGTTTTGCATGCATACATTTGCAGGAGATGCTGCTCTTTTAGTATACTTCATACATGATTTAAAGGAAAACTAATATTAAGATATACATTTTAATTTTTAAGTTTATGTAGTTACTGGGTGTATTTTTTAAACCGTTATAGTTAAGAGAAGGATAATTAATTTAAAAAATGTTTAACTTTATGGAAAATTTACCTTACACTTTTCATACTCACTATAGGTGCGACAATTTTTTTGAATTAATTACTTTTTTTTAGTTTTACTTAATATACTTATAGTGTAACAACCGGAAAAGTTTTTATTGTCATTTTTCCCATTAGGCTTTTTTTTATTTTTACTATTATATTTATGATATTCATTAAAAAAGTTGTCACGTCAATTGACAGAGAGATTCTTTTAAAAGAGGTTGCAATTGTTGGTCACATAATGTAACAAAATATACGATTAAAATAGTTTGCTTTTTAGAGGAATGTAAAAACCGACTTACTTAATATTGCTATGTATTGTACTTTAACCTAATGTTTACAAATTATATTGATGCTAAGCATTTATTGAACAATTTTACAAAAATGAAAGTGTGATAAAAACATAGAAAGTTATAAAATTGCAAATTAGTTCCATTTAACAAGATATACAAAAATTAGGAAGTCAAGTATAGACAATACTTAATAAATATTACTAATCTATTATGTCTAAATCATCAGAAGAATCATCATCATCTGAAGATGTAGTGGATACGAAATTCTTTTTGATAGTAAAATCTGGATCTTTTAGTACTTTCAACATGCTAACAACCTCTTCGGGAAGCGTACTCAATTTTCTTTTTGGCAAAGGTCTTATACTGGAAATCAGCATGTCAGATGAAATTAATAGGGCATGTAGTAAATCTTCCATGTTTTGTTTTCTGCCAATTTTTCGAGAATTGTGTTGGCGGTAGTATCGACATTCTTTATGACGTGCTTCTAAAGCCTCTTTGCTAAGCTGGCCTATTGGAAGAATCAGATAATTTATGACATCTGCACCGTGGATCGGTATCTTGTGGACGCTTGATGGCATCTTAAACCAGGGATATAAATTCACGAAAAGTCGGGCAGAATCCAGAGCATACTGCTTAAATGCTTCAGGATTAAGATCGTATTCACAAGAGATGGCTTGTAAAACTACGGAGAATCTACGTGTTAGAGTCTCATCAATTCCTGTTATGTTTGCTGATAGGGCTGGTTCACTGAAAAAGCGCCTGGCAACGTTTCCATCATTTGTCGTCCCACTTCCTTGACGCACTACATCTACCAACATACCTGTACGTTGACGAAAAGAATTTGTTATTTCTCGTTTTCTTCTTTCTACGGCTTCTTTTTCAGTTGCTGTTATACGCCATTTTTTTACAACTAATTTGTATGAAACATGCAATAAACACTCAAACATTCGAATATGGGCATGAAGGGTTGAGAGACCATATTTATAGGTTTCTATATTGCAATTTCTTTCTACAACTTTGTCAATGTCATTCATGTCATTTGGGGTAGCTTTACAAATATAACATGACTGAGACGAACGATTTTCAGTTAAGACATTTGCCACTTTTTCATTTATCATTGTTTGAATCAAAACATGATTTACGGTTAAACATCGTCCACCGAAATTCAGATATGTTGGCATTATTTGGTTAATTTGATTTGTTATGTATTCACTCTCTTTTTCTATAGATTCCCTACTTTCCTTTATGAATTGGAGATGCAGTGGCATACAAAAACGCGTGGACGATGGCATTGTCTGTAACTTTTTTGAATTGTAAGGGTACGATTGACGTTATAAGTAAATCTGTGTCTGTCGAATTTGGGTTTTCTGTAAATTTTTGTTTATATAATGCATGGCTAGAGGATCCATCGAAGCCCCACTTGTATCTCATTTCCAAAGTTACTTGATCTTCTTCCGGTACTACGTGATCGATAACATCTTTCTGAGCAATACATAACTGATTAATACAGTGGCATTTTGCAAAGGAACCTGAGCAGAAGTTTCATTTATATTTATATTTTTAGGATAACAATTCTTTTTGGCAGCAAGTATTATATTATACGATGGGTAGATATTGCATTTTCTTTTTTTGGCTTCTTTTCTTATCTGTTTATACTGGGCAGTAGTTAGTTTGGCATTCGTTATAAGCGCAAGTGCTTCTTCAACAGAGTATGGTCGAAGATCGGTTTTACTTTTACTCATCTTTTTAAAATGCTTTAGGGTGGTAGGACTAGAGGTTATTGCCTTTTTTATAACACTGGCTGCATTTCTGTTACCGGTTTTGATTAGACTAGACTGTGCTGCAAATAATAATTTTTTGGGCGAATGGCTTGCAACTAATGCTTTTACATGTCTTCTTTTCGTTGTATCGCTCGCCAAAGAAAAATTTTTAAGAGGTGTTCCTACTGTTTGAACAGAATTTTCCATAGTTGGCTTGCAGATATAATGCTGTAGTCAGTAGTTATATTGCTTTAAAAAGTTTTCCGACTTTCTTCCACTCGTTTTCCAACGGCGTAAAAAATTCACCGAAAATAAAGAAAAGTCCTTCTTAATATCATTTTCGGGCACATTACGGACTTTATTAACAACAAATTCAACCATTTTTTTTCTGGTGTCGACTGTCGTCGCTCGAGAAATAAGTTTCTCGTCTAACAAAAATTGGTAAAGTTTCATTCGTTTAATACCCATACTGATGTCTGTAAACAAAAAAAATATTGTTTGGCTTGCGCACTTCTGACTAATTTGAGTTTAATAACATTAAATAGATTAATGTAAAGAGCTTCGATTTTAAAATAATGAGCTTGAAACTACGTGATATATTTTTTTTACACTCCATCAAAACTTAGAAAAATTAAAAATTAATATTTTCGTTCACTTATTTTTATTAAAGCTTAGAATAGAAAAAAATCTGGATAAAAATAAGACTTATAAAGCATTTTTAATTACCAAAAGAACAATTAGACATGATCACATAAAATATCTAACAAATTATTATCACTATTTTGACACAGGAAGCCTAAATCTGCCTCTTAAATGACAACAATAAAGCACAAACTGAATTTATTGAAAGTTGCGCGCAGTAACCGGGGCAACGAACGGCACACTTCGTTTAAAAAAATGATTTTTATAAATTGTTTTGTATTGCCTGGTTATGCAGTTATTATTTATGAGTAATTTGCTTATTATCTGATATTTTTATTTTGTCTATTTTGATCGACCAATATGCTTATCCGAAACACTGTGCGCCGGCGCCGCCTCCCTATGAGCGTACATACTTAGTAGTTTGTGTTTTGCTTAATTGATCTGCATATCCGCATATTTAGAAACAATAAAATTCTTTGTTTTTTCTATGTATTCCAAATTTGAAATTTACCTTAGTATTTCGATATACTACTTACCAAATGGGATGAGCAATATTTTTGTACTTCAGTTATGGTATGATTCCTTAATTCTATGTCGGCTGCAAGTTCAACCAGAGAGATCTGAAACAAAAAAAAAATAATAAGCATTTTCTCTTAAAAATAGTAATTGTGGGTTATACTGCGACATGATTCATAATGGGACATACGAGTTGACAAATGGTCTGATAACATTATAAGTCTCAAACCACTTTGTTATGTTTATTCGGAATTTATGTCTAAGAAAATTGTGATCTTTGACAAGTATTAAGAAATATGTTTGATATTTTTATACAGATACCTAAGTTAATGAATTATATACATTCTAGTCAAATAGTTTTGTTTTTAACTCAGACGACGAAAAAGCTAAATATAATATTGTACAAAAATAGAGGTATAAATCAGTATTTACTAAAACAGAGGAAGCTATGTTGGTACAGTATTCACTTGATGCCTCTTATATATGCTATGGCTTAACCGAAAGAGAAACTAGAAATTTTGCATATTCGTTTGCCTTTACAAATTTAATAGTTATACCAGACTCTTGGAATGCAAATTGTGCCACTGGCGGTGGGTAGATGAACAATTTTCGAAATCGAAATTCTCGGTTAAAGTTAGGCACACCGGAAGCTACTAGCTTGACTGGTGCCACAAGCTTTATCAAATACAACGTCAGTAAAATAAATCTGACAAATGTTCTTCAAAAGTTTTGTGCGACATTTATAATTTAGACGAGACTGGTGTGATGACTGTGCACAAGCCTCATACTACTAAAAGAAAGAAGGGACAATCACTAGTACTTATAGACACGCCTGTAAAAATAGAGAGAGTATAGACAAAACAGGAAAGAATATATTTAAAAAAAGAAAACAAAAAGTGATAAAACTAGTGTTTGGAAAACTGAAAATTTCAAGCTCCGAAGAGTCAGAAACAGAGGATACAAATGATGAAAACACAGTTTATAATAATGAGGATAACCAATTAAAACCAGATATTGACATTGGAGATGTTGTTATAGTTAAATACCCTACCAAGAAAAAGTATTCACTATTATGCTGGATGTGTAGAAGTTGTTACGAATGGCGAATAAGTGTTTTTTTTTTCTTCGTAAAGTATTGGGTAACAGTTTTGTACATCCCAAAAAAGACGTCATTGAATCAAAGAAAAAAAATATATTGTCAGGAGTTTAACAAAAACTTCTGCAATAGGTACAACGAAACATTCTGCATATTAGCTACAATTTAAATTTGATATTTCTCAATATATGTTTTAAATCCTAAGAATTCTATATTGCCATTAATTTATGTTCAGTTTTTTACAAATAAATGATTTAAATATAATCAAGATTGATGCCCTAGAATCTATGAGTAGGTAGATAAATTTGTTAGTCCCTGCATAGACCAATAGAGGTCCCACTATGAACCAGTTTATCTATACTGGGACAAGTGATACACATTGGAACATCCGTTATATTTCTTTCAGGTTTATCTAAAACCCCAACTAACACATAATTAGGAATATCTGAATCAGTGATTCGATACCTTAAACGGACCATTGCGGAATGCGAGACCGCAACAGGAGACAGAGACAAGAAAGCGTAAGGCCTCCGAAAGCTGTATCTTTACGTCTAAATACATGTAATTAAATGAAGTATATTTGGGATAGTGCGACCGATGAAAGAGACGCGACAGCACTTTTAACACGGCAGTGTTTGTAGTCTTGCTGCTCTCATGTGTCACCTGTCTCGGCCTGTCGTTCCTAAACGGTACTTTTAAGGTAACGCAAGACTGTGGAACGAGACAGAGGCAAGTGATCGCGTAAGGCGACCAAAAACGGTTTCTTTACGTCCGAACCACATGTAATTAAATGAATAACATTTGGGATCGAGCGACCAATGCTAGAGACAGCGGCAGCACTTTCAACCTGTAAACGTAAGTCTGTCGCTGTCGCTTGCATCTGTCTCGCGTTCCCTAATTGAACCTTTAAATCTTGAAGAAAAGAAGATATGTGTCTGAAAAACTATAATACTGAAAAGCGTCTCAGCATGGACCTGGCTCCCCTGCATTTTAATATGCCGTATTTCAAACCGAAATATGTAATATACTACTCAAGACCAAAAAGGAGCTACTTCATTCTACCGACGCGCGCACATATGTATATTATAATGATTCCACCTCGGAAAGGTTAAACCATTCCAATATCCTAGAGTTTTTAAGGTTATAGCTCCTTTGGCTTCCTACAAAAATTTAAAAAAAAAACTAAAAATACTAACGAATAAATTTCAAAAAAATCAAAATCTTTCGCTTCACTTCTTTCTTTTTGCTTCCTGTTCTTCTGTTTACTGCTTTAACTTTTAACTTTCTGTACCTCCTGTTTTCCTACATGGTCTCGTCTTGCTAATTTCCTCTTACTTCTTTTTCTGACGAAGTCACCTTCCTGTTCCATTAACACTTATCTTTAATTTAAATAAAACTTTCTTCATCTTTATTTTTTATTTTTTTTTATTTTGTAATTTCACCTCAATAATATAAAATCTTCAACTTTAATATATATCTATCTTAACTTCAATAAAATATAATAAATTCAAAATCCCACTACCATCGCTGTCACAACCCTTAGGCAATTCCGAATAACATTTAGACTCCAACGATACAGGTCGGAAAAGATAAGAATATGTCTAATGATGGAATCATCTATCCTCTCCTCTAATAAGAAAGATAATAAAACAATCAAAAATTAAAAAATTTTGTGACTAACGTAAGCTATTAATTATTACATGTTATTGTTGCTGGTACACTCCGCAGGGTGTTACGAATTTTCCAACCAAAAACCTATATTATTGTATTCACTCAAAATTTAAATTTTATTTAAAAAATCAAAAGATTACTATTTCTAACGAATCAACCTATCATTCAAATCGAACAAAGTGTTCAGAAAAAAGAACTCCAAATTTTTGCGAACATTTTGGTGGTCCGATAATTTTTGTGGGATGTGTATAATTTTTTGGGGAATATTTTAGCAAAAATATACTGGATCAAAAAACTTTGAAACAAAATGAATGTAGCATCATTAGAAGTTTATATATTTTTTTCTTTTCAAAATTATAATAAAATTATCAACAAAAAAAAATAAATAAAATCAAAAATTACCATTTTCATTTTACATATCTAAACGATCAAAATAAAGATTCATTAATTGAATTATTGAAGGTGGCTATAACAGCGACAAGATCTAAAAAAGACAAAAGAACAACCACTGACTGGAACCATGACCGATGGGTGTACGTTACATGTTTGGGTTCCCTACAGGATGTGCTACCCGCTGCGTCCACCTCGTATTTATCTGTGTCTTCTACGGGAGGACCATCTCGATCATATATCATATTGACTTGTTTCTTACTGGTTATCTTTGTTTTGATATACCGGGTGACAAACGAAAAATACGACCTTGCGTCTTTATCGATTAAAATCTGGAACTTTGAGGATCAATAATAGGGCAAAGTTAAACGAAATATAACATAAAAAACTTTCGTGCAAATTTTATTTCAAAAATGTGAGGTGGGTGATGCAAAGATAGTTATGTATGTGGAATTTTTTGATTAATCTTGACACTAAATTAAAAAATATAAAAAACCTTTTTCTCCTTTTTTCCATTTATAATAATCAATGATAATAAAAATAACCATTTCACATTTCTAAAATTATTTTAAGAATAATCCTAGGCGTAAACTATTAAGGTCAAAACGTACCCGTATTTTGTAAATACCTAAAATATTTTTTTCTAATTTTGAAATATAAAGTGAAATGTTTTGTAATAGCTGCAAGTATCAAAATGATCTAATTTACGCAACCAGTTGCATAATGTTGAACATTATGAAACTGGTTTCGAAAAATTCATGATATCACCAGATACGAAAAAAAAAAAAACAAATAAATACAAAACATTTTTGATTTTAAAATCAATAATATACATTTTTATGAAAAGATTATATCAAAGTATACCCTAATAATTCTTTAATGAAAACCACATCAGGATATCTTAATTGGTTCGGAAGATAAAGTCCTCAAAATATGGAAAAATAGAGTGAGATGCCCTGTATTTCAGGTATACACGACCAATTTATTAAATCCAATAGCCTACTTATATAATCAGTTACTAAGTGCCATACTTTGTGTAACTAGTGAATATTTTCGGGACGAACGTAAAATGACAAACCATTAATTTTTTTTGTATTTTCAATCAAGGAAAACATTTATATTCACAATCAGTTTTTTATTTTCTTATCAAAGCTTGTTAGTTTTGAATAAAATGGGTTATTTTGCATACATAGATGTTAATACGAGCATTTTTAGTTTTTTCTCCATAACACCATATCAGTGTCGTGTATTTTGACATATAAATTAACATTTTTTTTAAAGCAGAAAGTGTCAAAATGATCTACTTTATGCAATCAGTTCTCTGTATCTGTAACGTGTAGAGGGTGGATTACCCCCACGGCACTTAGGCCTCATTAGGCCATTGTGCATCCTCCTGAGATGATAGGCACCTCCTAGCTCGTAAGCCAGTCTACAGATTTAATGTAGTTGACAACGTCGCCAAGAAGTGCTTCTCATATATCGTCCGGTGTTAGCCGATACTTGCCGAAGACAAATCTTCTATTAAATGAGAGCGTCTAGTCATAGTCAAGTATTTGTTTGCTGCAGTGTTGTCAGGATAACTTAAGAGCTCCCTGGCAACCATGCAGTTTCTTGTTTCATCCCATTTTTCCTCGAATGTCACAAGGGAATGTTCTTTGATTAGGTCTGTCACTATCGATTTTGTCAGGCCAATAGAAGGGCCAGGTCCAAAAAGTATTTGGTTGGCTGCTTTCTTGGCTAGTGAATCAGCAAGACGGTTACCTTTCGATGTGGCGTGACCTTTGATCCATCTTAAGGTGACCACATTGTTGATGGATACTTCGGCCAAAGCTTCGTGACATTCTAGTACTAACCCTGAGTAAATTCGTGGTCTGTTTAGGGTGATTAGTGCTTGTCTGCTATCTGTATAGATGAGCATGTTCCTTCCAGTGATATTGTTTCTGGTTA